TATATATATATATATATATGTATATATATATATATATATACACATATATATATATATATATATATATATATATATATATATATATATATACGTAAAAGTAATGCAAAAGTAACTCGACTAAAGTAAATGTAACGTAAAAGTAACTCAAGTGACAAATGTTGCGTAAAAGTAATGCAAAAGTAACTCGACTGAAGTAAATGTAACGTAAAAGTAACTCAAGTGACAAATGTTGCGTAAAAGTAATGCAAAAGTAACTCAACTGAAGTAAATGTAACGTAAAAGTAACACAAGAGAAACACAAAGCATTACCCTCTATAACAAGTAACACAACAAGTTACTTTTTTGGGAAAGTAACTCTGTATTAAAATGACTTACTTACAAAATTAAAATGTTTTCAAATGTTGTGTCCTTAAACTAAATTTATTTTATAAGCTGTTAACTCCAATTAAATTGTAAAAAAAAATTAAGCTTGTTTATTTTGTAAAAACAGAAGCTTTTAGCCATTGTTCTGATTTCATCTGATAAGTCAGAAATGACACAATAGAAAGTCAAAAAAACAATAATGGTTGCTAGGATAAAATGACAGGTTGCTAGGGTAAATAAGGCAGAATGTGTCAATGTTAAGTCAATAGGACATTTCCAAATTTTGATGATCAATTTTCCGAAAAAAGGCGATACGGCGGTTCAGTGGTTAGCACTGTCACTTCACAGCAAATCTCGGGTTTGAGTCCAGGCTAGGTCAGGTCTGTGTGCGGTTTGCATGTTTGCCCCTGTTGGCGTGGGTTTCTCCGTGTGCTCCGGTTTCCCCAAAAGTCCAAAGAAATGCACTATAGGTGAATTGAATAAACTAAATTGTCAGCAGTGTATGTGTGAATGAGTGTGTATGGGTGTTTCCCAGTACTGGGCTGCAGCTAGAAGAGCATCCGCTACATAAAACAAAGGCTGGATAAGTTGGTGGTTCAATCCGCTGTGGCTACCCCAGATTACTAAAGGGACTAAGCTGATCTGTGCAACTAGCTGGATAAGTTGGCGGTTCATTCCGCTGTGGGGACCCTTAATGAACAAACAGACTAAGCCGAAGGAAAATGGATTAATGAATTTTTAGAAAACTGCAAGTCAGTTCAATTAAAAAAGAAATAGCAATCAGATTCAGAACAGTCTGAAGGTGCGACAAGTTTTTAGGATTTAACTTAAAAGTTCTAGGAGGAGATTTAGAAAACGAAGAAGTTTAAACAGAATATCAGTATGTATGTATAATGTGTATAAATATATAATACAATCAACATGAGTGGGGAGTTAAATCCTTTTTATTGAGCTAGTGCTCTTCATATAATGGTATCAATATAAGCTTAATGTTGTCACCCTTCCTTAAGTGAACCCTTTAACTTATTCTGGCATCAAATAGGGGAGAATAAAGCATACTAACCAGCCATCACCGTGACTGAGACAATCAGTAACATATTTATTCCCATTTGGAAGTCAATTTCCTTCTTGTTTACCTCAGTGCTGGATTGGAATAAATTGTTTGTATATAATGACCTGCACCTTCAGAAAAAGAGTAAATGTAGAGCCCTACAATATATCCATTCTTCCATAATGCGTGCCAGCGTTTGATTTCAACATGTAAACATGCGAATTAAAGTGTAATGAGTGAGCTAGCTAGTTTTAAAATAAAATAAAACATACATTAACTGTAACAACCAGCACTCAGGTCATTTATTAAGTTAAACAGGAAAGAAATTATTCACTTCAAAATGAGAATAAATACGGTACTGATCGTTCCAGTCACGGTGATGTCTGGTAAGAAGATTTATTTCTTCTATGGTGGTGGAAAAAGTTGGGGAAAGGTGATAAACATGTAGTAACATACACATTCAGAAACAAATGGCAAGAGCGCAGTGGCAGTTTCTAGTTTCAATGGCACCCTGGGCATCCACCTAAATGTTTCTGGTTTCACATCGCATGAGCGGTGGGTATTTTATCGGCGTGCATGTAAACAAACGTGATTTTCACATTTGTTTTCACAAGCAGTTACACAAAGAATAACAAACTTGCACGTGCAAAAGTCGCCAAATGTGAATGTCCCCTAACATCTTTATTCTGGTGTTACCACTCTGAATTAATACACTTCCTTAAAGTAAATAATATCTCAAAGCTTTTACTGGGGCACAGCTGATTTTTACTGGGGCAGGCACATGCTTTGGAGGAGGATAGGTTGCACCGTTTCCCCATGCCACCTCCAGCAACATGCCCCTCTGGTTGAGCACCCATATTGCCCATGCCTAAATCAGTCACTTTAAGAGCGGTACCTTTCCAAAAATAATTCAAGAATTAGACTTAAAGGGAGTTCCCACAAAAATTCCATGATTTACTCACTTTTTACATGTTTCAAACCTTGAGTTTCTTTCTTCTGTAAAGTTTTGACTTTTCTAAAGCATAAAAATACCATGATATGCGTGCAGATAATAAAGAGCATGTTAAGTGAACATTTTTGTTTATCTGAAAAACAATGCTGAAGTCAGATATTCTGCTTTGAACGTGCGTTATGTGCAGGACCATCTGTCTTTGTTTTGGCACTTTTAACCCGCCCAATGCCAGTTTAGCCAATTATATTGCAGAATCCTGGGTTACCTTGTTATCATTCATTCAGTCGTGTAGGCTCTCAAAGTACGCATCCACGACTGAAATGAGACTTCCGGTGGACAGTAGCAGACTCCGAAAAGAGACACAGATTCAGAATTTCACATGAGGGGGTTGTTAATTAGCAAATAATATATGACGTGTAAACATTAGGAAAGCAGGTTGTACATTGTAACTCTGTTCTAACAACACGCTATGTGACGAGATTTGCAGTGATAAACAACTTGGCTGTTTGCAACAGACGAAACACAACAGAAATGTAAACACAGCCATTTAGAAGCACGGAATAGTGCACTCACTGCACTCTAACATAATGGTAAGGTTTATAATCTAATTAATACATATAAAACCTCTTTAACATTATTAAATGTAGATGCTGAATCACTGATATGTGTTGGTTTGCACTTAGCCACAGTTTTAAAGTTCAATTTTAAGCGGTTTATTGTTTTTCGAAATCTGCTGTTACTTTCAGTAGTATGGCAATGTATAAAATATACACACACACACACACACACACACACACAGAGAGAGATCTATAAGAACAATATTTGAAGTGCATCTGTACATGTCGGATAAGCATCCAATTTATAATAATGGACATACTGGATTTCATATTTTGACAACGAAACAATAAGAAATAAGTACCAACGTGTTAAAGTCAAACCCAGAACACTCAAAATCACCCCAAAACACTTTGTTAGTTCAGAGTACTGCGTTCTCCATTTGCACTCATCCCGCAGATTATATTGAAGTCATCACAAACCACACTGCAAAAACCCGCTCTGTCTGTCTTCTGAATGAGTTGGTCAATGAAATTAATATTACAGGGAAAACTACTGATCCAAACCGCACACTTACTGGAACAACCTTCAAGTAAATTGCATATAAAATGTACTTTTTGCGTACAAAACTCCTACCAGCACACTTTTGAATTCAATCCCACCTCAGAAAGTACACTATTTAGGGTTCACAGATTCAGTGCAAGCGTGGGAAATAAATAAGACCTGCACTGGCAGTGTCGCCTCTTGTGTAGATATCTACAAATTACTTTAATTGTAT